CGTTGCTGACACGCGACTTGGGAAAGCAAACAATTAATTGCACCATTCCCTTGATGAGACCGCATTCAATGCGGTAAGGCTCGGAAATGAAAGGCAATAAATGCTCCTATTACAGAGCATTTATTGCATCCTCCCCGAGAGGAGCACATTGTACCGTCGGCATCCCGATGATCCAGCATTGATTGCTCGGGACCCCGAGCAGTTAATTAGAGAAGACATTCCTCATCAGAATCAATGCATACGCTACCTGTGCCTAATGATCACCTACTGACCACACTGACAGCAATCATGAGTTTTTAAGGTATAAATACTCCTTGCAAAAGGCAAAGCGGGTATGCGACAACAAACTCTCTACTACAATACATTTTCTCAGTGTTTTCTCTTTCCTCTCTCTTTCTCAAAGACTGACTAGATCGTCGGAGGGGATACGCCGGAAAACACTCCGGCGCCCTTCTAACTTGCTCTTTTTTGTTCCAGGAATCTCTTTCAGCCTTACAGGATCGTTCTTCCTTTCCCAGGGTCTCTCGTTGCCGTTTCAGGTTACCACCGTACCTTGCAGGCTGTCCCAAGTAGCGTGTTTGGTCACTCAACCAGCTCACTCGAAGTTCACCAAGGGAGAGATCTGTTCTCGTTTTTTATATTGTGCAGGATCTTGCACGCACAATTATCATTGTATCCTTATGCATTTAAATCCCCAAATTGCATCTAAGATCACTTTTAATTATATATTCCCTATGTATAAATGTCAATTTTTATAAAATTTTTTGATTGATTATATTGCTCTCAAAAAATATATGCATAATTATAAGTTTTAACAAATATTTAAAAAAACCTTCAAAAATTCCATCAATATAATATTATTCACCTTATTTATAAATATAATATTATGACTACATATTTACATTTTATTTTTTATCAAAATGTTTAACCCTTTCATTTTTAAGAAAAAAAATAATGTATATATAGTTTTACATGATTTTTTATTCGCAGTAAACTTTTCAGACTGTGTTAAGATTTTATGTGAAAACTCAATTTTTTTTTAAAAAAAATTTAGTATTCTTTATAATATATATTATAGTATTGTATATTATTGATAATNTATAAAATCAAGCACGAGTCGTTCTTCAAATGGCTGCCCAGGATGCAGGGCGACCCCTCCACCCGTGATCAAAAGGTTAAGTGTTTCTATCACCGGGATTTTGGGCATCGCACCGAAAGCTGTAGGGTGTTCAAATCATTCTTGGAAAGCTTGGTCCGAGACGGACATTTGAAAGAGTACATCGAGCCCAGGCCAGAAGAGAGANGTCAATTTTTATGAAACTTTTTGATTTATTATATTATTCTTAAAAAATATTTGCATTATTTTAGGTTTTAACAAAATATTCAAAAAAATCTTCAAAAACTCCATCAGTATAATATTTACTCATCTCATTTATAAAGTTAATATTATGACTATATATGCATATTTTATTTTTCATCAAAATGTTTAACCATTTCATTTTTAAGATAAAAAAATAATAATAAATAAATAAATATATATATATATATATATATATATATAGTTTTATATTATTTTTTAGTCTCAGTAAACTTTTTAAACTGCATTAACATTTTATGTGAAAACTTGAATTTTTTTAAAATTTTAATATACTTTATAATATATATTATAGTGTTGTATATTAAATTGTATCTCAATTAACCTAACTAATCTTAAGTACAGTAAGTTCTAATATAATTGGTATATTGATAATTGTTTTTATTTTATTCAATGATTTATAAGTGGAATCTTAATCAAATTGATTTTAAAAAATTTAGTTTTCAAACATCTCTAAAAAATCACTTTCAATTACAAAATTATAGAAACAAAATAGAACTTTAATTATTTTTTATTTTTTCTTAAAGTTAGAATAACAACACTTGAAAAAATACAATATTTTCAAAAATTTTATAGCGAGCAGAAGACATGAAAAAATAAGTTTAATAAATTTGAGATGATATTTAATTCAAGTACACATATACCAAATATTTATTTATTTTTTNACTTGAAAACCACATAGCAGTCAAACAGATGGTCTTTCAATGTGCTATGTTCCTATTTAATTAATAGGTGCCTTCAGTCCTTAGGTAAAATAATTTGGTTTTTGTTGTCATTTCCTTCCAGTTATGCTGTATTGGCTCGGCTTGGGCCAATTTTTCACATCTTAAGCTGAGATGAATTTGGTTTAGTCTAAGGTTTACACAGTAGAACTGAACCTAACTATGATAGTGATCTTCACAATAGATGAAACAATTGAGTTTATGTATAATGATTTGTGGCATTCATGTGTCAAACATGGTTGAACNAAAAAAATAAATTATTTACGTGCAACGCATGTGATGCATTGTTAGTCCTAGTAATTAGTAGATTCTTATTATCCCTAAGGATTATGAATAATGGTTAAGACTATGATGACTAATGTGGTTAAATCGAGGAACATTGATATAATCATTGAGAGTTTTGTTTTTTATTATGATTATACTGCAAAAAATCTCATAGTATTGAATTGAAGGAGATTATTGTGATCCTTCAAAGTCTATCTTTATCTTATGAATTATAAATATATTTATTCTGAATTGATTCATGAAAATTCAAGATTATAAGTAACGAATAGACGGGAGAGGGTGTGAAAGCTGCTAGAGATTGATTACATGGATTATTGATTCTAGCTCAAGACTAGAGATTGAGAAGAAATATTCAGGAGATAGAGAAAATGATTAGTGTTAATCAAGTTGGTGAATAATGTGAAGATATTAAGAGTGATCTAACAATAGGAATTCGAATGCACATACGTTATGAATGAGATTTTAAGACTTCTTGAGTTGAGTACAAGATTGAAGACTAAAAAAAATATTTTAGAGTTACACCTTGACTCATAGCCCAAGTAGTATATTTGTTTATCTATACTATTTTAAAATATCAACATAGTTGAAAAATATTTTATTTTCACTTTTACCATTCAACAATACAACTATGCCATACTTATCGTTCACCATTAAACCTATATCATTATCTCTATGCTACCGATTCCTAATTTTCAGCAGTTACTACATCTCTCTCTCTCTCTCTCTCTCTCCTATGCATATTCACCAGTCGGTTAAGAAGCCACACACATCGTCAGTCTCTCTTTAATTCCCTCTCTTCACCTTCTCTCTTTTCAGGGCTTCTCCATACCGATCAATTTCTACACCTTTGACCATTACTCCTTCAGAATTCAAAATGTCTTTTATTCCATGTAAATTAATTAGGTTATTAAACCTCCTGCCATTAGTTCTCAAAGGCACCCCTTCATCTCTCTTTCTTCGCCAGTTGAGGTCCTTTTCTTTCACGGTAACCGTCGCTAGTGTATAACCTCTCTAGATTGGAATTCGTGGCCCTACATATTCTACAAATTAAAGGTTGTAGCAGCAATGGTGGCATCAAATTACGATTAGGAATACGAATAATTGCGACCCAACAGTGTTGTTATTCATCACGTACTCTAATTTTGTTTGCTCTATTTCTCTCTTAGACACATACCGTCAGGCTTTGCCTTGCCGAGCCAACGGTGTCTGTCAATAGGTAGTGCATTTTTCTTTTCGTATAATATCTTTGTTTTTTATGGTTTTTTTTTGGTTTATGGTTTAATAAATCAATGAAATTAGCATTTTTAAGCCACAATTGCTCTTCTCCATCACACACCCTCTTTGTGTATATGGGGATTAGGCAAAAGGTTGCGTACGTGCTTTGTTTGGACAAGTTTTCTGGTTGGAGAGGAGCCGCTAGATATGGAAACCTGATGATGGCAGTTTTTTATTTACTCATTTTGTTCTAAAATTGCTATGCTAACTTTAATTATTATCATTAGTACTTTTGGTTTGTTAGTAAAATTATTTTGCTAAGTTGAATTATTATCTTTATTTCTTTTGGTTTGAAAATCCTCATGTGAAAAACTTTGTTGATGGTTTATTTGGTTGCTTTACTCGAGTATGGAATTTGTGCAATCTAATTGGTGCCGCTTTATTCTTGAAAGAATCATATTTTTGAGTCTTATTGCATATTTGTTAAGGTTGTGGCTTATTTCTTTTGTGTGATTTGGTTATTTTTGATAAAAACACATCAATTCAATTTCTTTCTTTGCTAACGTTTTTGTTTTTATGTTTTTATGTTTTTTTTTTTATAAAAAATAATATAACTAAATTTTGTTTTTTTTTGTGATAAAAATTAAAAATATAAAACATGTTTGAGAGTCATTTATATTTAAAAAATTATAAAAACAAAAATAAAAAACTTGTTTGATATTATACCAAAAATACCCCACCCAAAACCACCACCAACCACCCAACCACCTAAACTGCCACCACCACCACCGAAACCCACCCCCACAACCTTTCCTCTGAAATTCACCACCACCCAACCCCACCACCACCACCCAAACCCAACCCCTCTATGAAACCCATCGCCTACCCCCGGATGAATCCACCCACTCAGATGCACACACACACACATACACAACCAGATGCATAAATCACACACACGCACACACAAACGTCTAGATGCACACACACAGAGGCGCCAACACACACACACACACACACATAGATGCCCAGATGCACACACACAAGCACAGATTCATACATACATACAGAGAGAGAGAGAGAGAGAGATGTTAAAATCAACCGTAGATCTGAAACAATAGACTGTATATCTACAAAAATAAACCGTAGATCTGAAAAAAAAATCATAGATTTGAAAATCGTCGGTGATAGAGAACATCGCCGGAGAGCTTCGTCTGAGATAGGAACCTTTATTGGATATGGCAGAGCGCGAGAGGCGATGAAGACGTTGATATGTTGTGGAGAGGCATTAAACTTGCTGTGCACATGGGCTTTTATATGGTAATGAAAAGGAGTAATTTTTTTTCTGTTAGGAAGGTTCGAATTAGAGACCTCATTAAATGAAGGTTTTCAAAAACATTGGCTTTGTTTCCAAAACATAGCAGCAAAAAAAAAAGGAAACATTAATCTAACGTGTTTTTATTTTTTATTTTTCCAAAATATGAAAACAAAAACATCTTGTTGCCAAACGCACCCTTAAGAAGATAGTTTGTTGGTTAATTTGTAATTTTCAGTTGTTATCTTGAGGATATGATGAATACCTTCTTTATATCATTATGCTTTGGTTCAGCATAATTAATGTGCCCTTCATTTTTGTCTTTTGCATAGGTTTCTATTGCGATTTATATTTGAAATGGTAGAATTTTTGACCTAATTTACAATATATGCACTTATAGCAGTTGAATGATTTTAAGTTTGAGATTCAGTTGGGATGGTAAATACTGGGAGAACTACAAGTTTTTTCCAAAGAGATTATATTGTAATTTCAGCACCCTTTTAAGATGCATATGAATTTTCTATTTCAATTATATTTTTTGTTGATTTATTTCAAATTGCATGTTTATGTTCTCTTTTCTAATGCTTGGAGTTCAATTTGGATCTGTCTCGTTGCAGGTTTGGCAATGAATCTATTTTTCATGGACTGAATGCAATGAAGAAATCGGAGGAGCAGAAGAGGAAGGATAGAGCAGAGAGGTTTTATTTTCTGCCTCCCTATTCTACTTTGACAAATTGGTTGTTGAAATCTTCGGTGAATGATGTTGTTTGACTATGTTAGTTGTTTCTCAGGTTTGGGTTTATGCAGCTTGTACTTGCTGATGTAGAAGAAAAGAAGGCAGCTAGGCTTGCCAGATTTGCACCAATCTCCACGACTAATTTAGTGGAAGAAGACAAAATGAAAGCTAGGGAAATTCGGTCTGTATCATTTCTACATCTTTGAGTTTTCTTGCTATTGTTAGGGGGCATGATTTAGTGCATCACAATGTTTTGTGCAATATAGAGACAAATACCTGTATTTATGCTTGAGCATTTGCATTGATTACTATTTAATTCTATTTACAGGTTTTCATGATCTTAGTTGTCTATCACAAGTGAATGTCAAATTAAACATGGATATGGTAGGGCTCTATTATTGAATTATTTTACATATCAAATGATGGACTCTTTTAAAATGTGTTTCTTTATGCACTTATTTTATGTTGCTCAGGATACAGCTAACGTGGGCAAGACAGGTGGAGTGACTTGAACATCAAAGCTTCTTTGCCTTGCAGTTTGCAATAAGATTCGTTCAAGATATAATTTGTAGTTGCCTCTTGTTTTAGTTTTTGTTATTGTTTTTTTTCCTTACCTGGCAAGTTAGTCTCATTCATGAGCTGTTTTAATATTGTTCTATTTGGCAAGTCAGTACATTTTTGTGATCCCTAGTGGCATTACGCCCATATCTACTTTCTAACACCGATTTTTGGTTGCATTACTCTTCAATTCTTTTTGTGAGGCACAACACAGGATTTTTGGTGATGTAGATGTTCTTTCATCCAACAACATGAAATTATAGCTGAGAAATTTTTTTCTGCTTGCAAATCTTTTAGTATAGAACTGAGATTCTTTGGAAATTATTGATTGGAACCTTAATGTTGTCTGATGACTTTATCTTCGATGCATATTTGATTTCCATGAGTTCAACCTCTGATTCTATATATAGTCTCATCTCAAGTTGCATTGCTCAAGATCCAGTTGGAGTCAATAGTAAAGTTAATTGTGAGTCTAACATCATTCGATCCAACACTTTTCAATGTTGCATAAGTATCAATTTTAGTCCTTACTTGGAAAATCAAAGCAGACCTGCCTTGTGCTAATTGTTTTATAGTGGTATCTTTTTGGAATTCCCTCTTTGTGTCATTTTTTCAAGTTAGGGACACTAATCAAATGAACTTTTTCCTCCCTGTTCTGACTCTTTGATCAGCTTGCGCTCACACCGTCTTTGTTGAGAGAATAGGCCAAGGGGCTAAGTGAATTTCAAAAGTTGAACAATCAATAAAGCATAGAAAATGTGGGCTCTATGACTAGCTCCAATTGAACAAGGAGGGATCAATTCTTCATTTATTTGAACCCAATAATATACATTACCTCTTTTATGTTATGGAAAACACTAATGTTGGAACTTTTACGAAGACGAGTTGCCAAATAAGAAGATAAAAAAGGGACATTGTTGATAAATTTGTGGTGTGCCAATTTGGATATGTTTTTTAAAGGTTTTTCCTCAAGTGAAGGTATAAAGATCTTGTTTTACGTACTTTAGTGTTCATGGTCTGTTTTTATTACTTGACATGAACCAATTTAGCTGCAAATTTTTTGGTGAAAAATGATATTTTACTTTGTAGGTTCAAGAAGAAACTGCAAAGTTTGGAAAATCTGACATGTATTTTTTTTTTGTCCTAAGCATCCTCCGTAGATTGAAGAAAAACTAAAGTCAGGTAGACTTTTTGGTTCATTTGAGAGGAATGCCAAATGTTAATATTGTTAGGTATAAAAATATAGTCATTAATTGGGGACTAATTACCTTGAGATAGTTACAGATTTTAGGTTGTGTGGCATGATAGAGTGGTTTACTGGATTTCACTGTGAAGGGTTGGAGCTTGAAATTCAAGATGCTTCAATTATTAAGGCTCTCGAGAAGGCTTGTTGAACCAAATAGGCTCAAACTAAGAAGCAATATGCAATAAGGTATTGGTTGCTCATTTCTGTTTTATAGTTGTTTCTTACGTTATGGATCACTTGTTTATGGGTAACTTAGCAAGTCTATTGTCAACTTAATGAAGTGTTTTAAAAGTTAATTATGAAAAATTATGTTTCTTTTTGTTGATGGAAGGTTTTGGCAAATGAAAATGGTTAACCTATGCTATTTAATCTTGTATTTAGCATAATCACTAATGCCATAAGCAAAAGGCTTTAAATTTAGCATGTGTATGGCTATACATTGATCTTTGTGACTCCATATTAGGAATAATCCAGAGACAGGTTGGTCTCGGAATAGACGTGGGATAGGAACCACATGAAGCTTTTAAAGGAAGATTAATTGAAAGAAGGGAAAGTAAAAAA